GTCAGACGTTATGTGGAAGAACTTGGGATCAGTTCGAGTGAGCCGCAATAATATTCATTGCCCTACAAGAATTTGGGCAAATGGATACGATTGTTTATTATAGACCGTCGTTGAGATTTTCAAATATCTCACGAAGTCCCCGAGACACTGAGAGCTACTGCGTCTGTTGTGCAGCCCAGTTAAGCCGGTGCTGTAGACGACGCAAAAGGTGGCTCAGAAGGCGAAGAGGAGCCTGGTCCTGGGAGACGGGCGTCAGGGGTAGATGCATCGCTAAGCATTCCCCATAAAGGGGGACAGGTTCTACCTGGCTTCTCAACTTGAGGAGGGCGCGGATGCCGGAGCAGGACCAGCCAACTTGTTTTACGTGTATCCGTCCCGCCATCCCTTGAGCATAAACAACTTCGCCCGAAGGAACGGGACCTTCCTGGAAGGAGGAGAAGCGTCAACCATGCGAAATTGTCCAGAACAGGGGAAGAGTTATATCTCGGGGACGCCGAACGAGAAACTATACGTCAGGATACATCGCCGAGCTTCAAACACATATTATTGAAGCTCATAGGGTGTGCCCGGTGCCGCCCCACGTTGCAGCGATTTGCGGGCGTACTTGCAACGCTATTCGAGAAAACGCTGAATTTGTTCATGACCCCGCGTTTACGTTGATGGGAGAGCTTCCAAAATAAGAGTTTTCAAAAGCTGTTTCATTCTTCCGATCAGAATATGATTCAGATGATTGGCCGGACAATCTACCCTGGACGATCTACGCAGCATTTTCCCCACTCGTGAAGCCCACTGATGCCCCCGGCATAGCCGACGTACCGAAACTGGACGCAGAGAGGCCACTCGTGGTTGGCAGTGGCGAATTTTGGAGGAGACGCAGTCATCGCAACAATGCCATTGCAACTGGCGTCGGGGAACGTGCGACCTACCTGGCAAGGCGCTGTTCGGATTGCGCCCGATCGTCGGGGGCGTGGGTATTTTCGGTGGCCTCATCGCTAAAATGGAAGCCGATGGCATAGCGCGTGCTTCGACTGCCCTCGCGGTGCGCGGTTTGACCGCTTTACCGCCTGGGACAGTGGAGGTCCTAGGAACCAGGGCAGGGGGCCTCGGCGCCCTGGGGGGCTTGCGGCTGAAGGACTATTGGGACTAATTTCTTTATCCGCCCACCCCTCGCGACTCAGTCGTTGATGGGGGTGGCGGGGGCGAGGTAGTTTCCATCGAAAGGGGGAAGCGTGGTCGCGGGCCAATTCCAGTTTTCTATCGTGCGTGCCAGGGGCACTTCATGTTTTGTTCGCAATATGCAGCGCATGTGCGCCCCGCATGAATCTGGCAAGGCGAAATGCTATGGGTCGCTCTTGCATGTGACAATCATCGATGCCAGTAAGGGTTCGATGGCAGGAGAAGGAATCATTCAATCCCTTGATAAAACTGACGGATTGTGTAAAGAACTTGATTACGTACTTCTTCGTTTAATTCCGACAAGGCGTGGTTTCCCGGAAGAGCAGAGTGAGTGCATCCTTCCCTGGCTCCGTCAGCGGAGGGATGGGGGGGCCCCGCTGGGTAAAAGATACTTGAGACCGGGCTCCGCCCCGAAGGAACAGGGGCCTCCAAACTCAGGCGCGTGGCCGTCTAACGTCGCGCCAATGCTCTGGGAACTTGCAAGTGTTCGCGATACTACTTGGCCATGCGTCATTGTTTTCAATGGGGGTGTAACGGGGCGCCCTCGATGCCGAATTTGTCGTGGCGGTGCGCTTGCGACGACGGAGATGGCCCGTTTTCGCGATATAGGCAGACTTGTGAAACTTTATATTACCCAGGGTGCAACGCCACAGGTGGTTTGGACTTTAGTTTTCTCCCAGGAATGGACCGCCTACGAGGTTTCATTCACGCCTGATTCAATCAGAGGGTGGACGTTTACCGATGAGGAGATCCGACCCGTCGCCAACGGCTGTCAGTTGAACGCAGAAGAGCTCCGGCTCATGCGGACCAAGCCGTGGACCGACGACGGGAGATTCATCGGCAAGAATTTCCACTCTGTGAGAGCCGGGCTTGATTATTGTCTTTATTGCCAGACGAAGGTTCTGTATCAATGCAACGTTCAGAAGAATTATCTTGCGGGATCCGGCAAACAAGCTCTAGATGATGCATGGGCCATCTAGGGTTTACCGCTGGTATTATAGATTGTCCGAGAAGGGGAACCAAATCGCTCGTGATTGCAGATGGGCTGGAGAAAAAAAAGAGCTCCATTGACGCGTTGGATCCTTTCTGACAGAGAACCGAACAACATCAGCGCATATGGGTTGCAGACAAAGAGGGAGCTCGTCTTAGATTCGCTAAAGGGAGGTCAGACCTTGTCCGACCAACAGCCTGGAAAGGTCCCGACCTGGGTCCCTGATAGCGCTGCGGCTCAGCCGCCAGCGCGTCACGAACCATTCTTTCAGTTCGTCGAGCCGTTGAAGCTCCGTCTCGTGCGTTGGCTTGTACACGATGCAAGCTTGGAGAACAAAGACCCTCCAACTGCGGCGACATGGTGGCCATTAGTGTGGTCCTCCGACGTTGATCAGTATGCTCATCCATTTCGATGCCCCGCTCTTGCCGTTTTTGATTGGACCCACGTAAATAGTAAACAACCAGAACCGTCTGGATGATGGGATCAGTGGGCGAAGAGTCGGCGAGAAATGGGCGCATAAATTCCAGCGGTACATGCGCTCTCCGAAAGACTAAGACGCATCGATGCGCCTATCCCGAGTACCATTGGAGATATTAATTATCAAGCAGTTGCATCGTTTTGCATCCGGCCCGCCCAGCAGACAGGCGCGCTTCTGGCCCGTGACAAGCTTGCAGAAGCATCGAGGGGAATTCTGCCCGGAGGCACTGTGCCAGCGCGTCTCAGACTGGAGACCGCTGGATTGCCACTGCCCTTTTGGCTTGATCTAGTTCCCCTTGGGGGACGTTTGTCTGAAGCGATGTGGGATCCGTTGTGCAACCCAGTGAAGAATGCGAATGCGGACCTGCAGTTTGAACGGGGCGATGGAAAGGCGCATGTAGTTACCAATCGACGTGGCGCTATTAACGTTGCCGTTCAACTTATCCTTGAGTACTTGGCCACACCGGGCGCTGCAATGCGATTGGAAAAGGATGTGGTTCACGATGTGCCGCCAGGACTGACCGAACTCATCGACAGAGTATGGGATGAACCCGACAATAGGGACCCCGCGCATCGGCGATGGGGGCGAATCCTTTTGGCTGTTGGTGAGGTGGTACTCTTGTTCACGGCAGAAGGACTTCATGTTGATTTCCTTGGCCGCGAAGTACAGCGACATACGAGCGCTGAAGATATTGCCCCCAGTTCCAGGTTGACCGACGCCTTTGCGCTGGACAGCCGTATCAGGTCAACGAACAAGTCGTCATACTTGCTAGAGACGTGGACCGAATGTTAAGGTAACGAAGGTCGTGGTGCCGTCCGACGTTGCTGTGTTGACATCCAATCTGCCATGGAGTTCATGGGCGCATCTCCCGAAATCGCGCCCATTGCGAGAGCTCGATTCGCGATCGGCCGTCATGGGCAATTTTGCTACGGAAACAGCCATCGGACTCATTCGATACGTGCGGAACCATGCTGAGGAGGTCGTCCCAGTCGAACCTTCCCCGGCGGCTCTTGACGACCCAGTTGCATCGGAAGCTGCTGTCCAGCACTCTGAGGGCCCAACGGCCCAGCGCACGGGTGCTGACTCTCCTGGGGGCTCTGCCGCTTCGGATCTGAACAGCGCGCGGAATCCCCGAATACCTCCGAAGCGTCCTATGGATGCCACTGAGGGAGTTCGGACTTGCTGGAATGAGATGCGCGCCTTCAGACCAGCCCCGTACGACGCAGTTCCCACTGGCCCAGCCGTGTCGGGCAGCGACCCCGATCGGGATCAGACGTTGCATAGAACTCCTACCGAATGGAGCGAACGGGATCGGTCGCTTGTGTGGGCTGGTGAGCCTGCAGATGATGTAGGCGGCCGCGGGCGCGATGGCGGCTGGGGCCCTTCGCTGGATCATGCCGATCAGAACAACTACGGCAACATCAGGGGATATTGGGCTCATGTGGATCGCCATCGGCAGATAACGAGGAGCGAAAGGACATGATTTTGGTTCAACGTGGACGAGTACAACACAGCATTCGTGGGAGACCATGAAGATGAATCGTTGGAAGACGAATGGCCCCCCCGTCGACAAGCTTGGGTCCGAACTGGAGAAACACTGAGCACTGCTCCTGCATCCTTGCCGGCGCCACCACCACCACCGACGCCTATGGCGAGGCCGGTTGGCAAGGACAAGAGCAAGGGCAAGTGCAGCAGCTGGGGCGGTGGAGAAGGCAAGGGTCCTTATGACCGCCGTCAGCGAGGTCAGTTTCAGTGGAGCTGGCGGACCGGCTATGATTGGAATCGCCCCCAGCGCCGAGAAGAAGATAGGCGGGGGTGGTATTTTTGCATGAGGATTGGTGCGACCTCATCGGCATCGGTCCCACGTCGCTTGGCTCCGCCAGCGTGAGTTGGGTGCGCTCGGGGTGGGAGATCTTCGTGATATGAGCTGGCCTTATATATTAGCCCTGGTGGGGTTCGTCCGGTTGTTTCGGTCTCTGGCCCCTCGGCAGCCACGGTCGAGCCGTTTTTTTTTTGGGGTGGGGGTGGGGGTGGGGTGGGGGGGGGGCTGGCTCCCGTGGCTGTGCATATGCGCGGGCTAAGTGGGTGGGGGGCCGGAGCAACTCTACGCGCCCCGCCGCGGGGGGAGTCAATGCACTCCTCTCCGCGCCGCCGTCCTGCTGCCGCTGCCTGTGCTTCTTTGCTCTGACGTGTACTGTACCTTTCCGCAGCTATACTTGGCGTAGAAGGTCAGAGGAGGAGCGTGCCCGCTTTCGCGCGCGTCGGCCGGCGGGCCGGCCCCCTCCTTTCAGGGGTACTTCTATAGTCAGCTTAACGGATCCCCTTCCTTGCCATGGTTTCGGCGGGCCCCCCTGATCATGAGACAGCATTGGAACATAACGCAGGGATTATCAAGGTCGAGGCGAAAAGCTCGAAGACCTCTCGCGTGTGTTCGAGCTCTTCGATGTCGACAGATCAGATCGCATTGGTGCCGGCGACTTTGCTTACATGCTCTCGTGGCTCGGCTTCACGTGGGCCCCCGCGATCGCGATTGGAAGCGGCCGCCGCTGAACGAGAGGCGCCGTGGAGGTCTACGAGGCGGCGGATACCGACAGATCGGGGAGCTTGAACCAGCGCGAGTTCATCATCTGCGCGAGAGGAGCGTGCGCAGCTGGGCTCGGAGGTGGGGAAGATTGCCCAGGTGATCCGAGAGCGCCATCAGTGGCTCTGAAGATCGCATCCGTCGCACTCGTCTGATGCAGGTGCTCAAGGTGCTCGGGTGCACGAGTAGTCAGGATATTGGGCGGTTCTTGACGCCATTGCGGCTGATCTTGTGGCCTTGGGTGGCTGCGCCTGATCCTGGGCACAATTTGATCCGCGTGGGCACAGTTGGCAATGCGAGCAGGCGCGCAAGGGAGCCTCGCATCCCTCTGAGCTGGGCATCCCTCGCAGGAGCGCGTTCTGGACCAGGGAGTCTTCAAGGAGACATCCCTTGGCAGGCTTCCTTTGGCGCATCCCAAGTAAGTTGTATCCCCCTGCCCCTTCGCATTGCCCAGTTCGACTGCAGGGTGGCCCAGCCGACGACGGCGCGAGGTTGACATCGGCCAAGTGCATGTGCCCCTGGTCCTGCGGCAGCTCGGCTTCGCGCTGCCCTTCCACCTGCTGCGGCACATCGCGGAGCGGGTGGAAGTGGGCAGCGCACCCGCGCAGATCCCTGGCCGGGCAGATCCCGGGCCCGCGATCGGCAGACACGCCAGCTTGGACAAACCCGCCAGCTCTGCCGGCCCTGGGCCCAGGATTGGGCCTGGCCAGGATGGGTGCGGGCGCATCGTTGGTTTCCTTGGTCAGGAAGGTGTGTGTCCCTGTGCCCTGGATCTGGCTGGCCGGGATCGGTGCGGGTTGTGCAGACGGCCTCCTTTCTCAGGAGCGGGTGGACGTGAGCTGCACGGGTAGGATTGACTCCGACAGTGCCGCGGCCTCGGGCGGCCGCGTACGTCCTGGGCCCGTGGCCCGTACGGCGGTCCCAGCGGTCTCGGGTCGGTGCCTTCTCTGGCTGGTGGTCCCAAAAAAGTCCGCACAGAAACTCCAGCGGTCCTGCGGTTGCCGCGCGGCGGACCCGCGTTACCAGGGGCGCCGACGGGGGGGGGGAAGGGCTGACTCGTGGGGGGGTGGGGCGCATCGACTCCCCGTCGCGCATTACCCGCCCATCGGGGCCTGGGTGCCCCAACTCGCCCAGGAGCGTGGTCTCCCCGTCGGGGGCCTGTCGCCGATCCATTGGCGATGCATTGCCGACTCCAAGTCAGTGTCCTCCCCCAGAGCGTGTCCCCCCCTTCTGGCTCCCCTCTGCGCCCGACGGAGTTGTCAAGACTGGCCGCTGATTCCATGGCGACTGGACTGTCTTTGCTCGAGGGAGTTTGGTTCAAGCCATTCGGTTAAGCTCTCGCCTTCGAAGCTGTCGATTGTTTTCGTTTGTGCGTTGAGTGATGCGCACTAGCTATGCCCAGTTTTGTGCAGCGTTTGCATCAACATTGGCTGCTGGACAGAACGATCAACATTTATGGGATGATTATGCGAAGCCTACACGCGAACTTACGGAATTATCGAAGACGCCCACGGCGAATCACCGCCGCCCCCTGCCTTTTGAAATCGCCCATGTGGCCGAGCGTTTTGGCAAGAACTCTGCCAAGCTATCGGACCATGCGTTCCCCCAACCGTTGTGGAAACCCTTCGGGGAACGTTTTGGGGAGGATGGCTGGGAAGATCAGGAGGATGAGGAGGAAGAAGAGGAGGGAGCATCTTGGGAACCTCTTGGGGCACTCTTGGGGCCTCCTGGGGGCTTCCTGGGAGCCTCGTGGGGGCCTTTGGGGGCTTCTCGGGGGCCTCTTGGGCCGTCTCAGGGCATTCCTGGTCCGTCTGACGCCGTCGGAAACTGTCTTGGGGGCCTCTCCGGGCCGACGGGGGGCCCTCTTGGGGTTCTCCAGGGCCGTCTTGGAGGCCATCTTGGGCGTCTTGGAGGCCTCTTGGGCTGCCTGGGGTCCCTCTTGGGGCCGCCTTGGGGGCCTCTTGGGCCGTTCTGGGCCATCTTGGATGCCTCTTAGGCGATCTTTGGGGGCTCTTGGGCTGCCTCGGCCGTCGGAAGGCCGAACAAAAAGCAAATGCCCAACTCCTTCAAACACCTAGAGGAAATCAATGATTTTGGCCTCTTCAGGCCTTCCTGGATGCCCTCTTGGAGGCCTCGTGGGCCGTCTTGGAGACCTCTTGACGGTCTCTGGTACCGTCTTGGGCCATCTTAGAGCCATCTTGGCCCGTCTTGATGGGCTCCTGGCCCGTCTGACGCCGTCGGAAACTGTCTTGGGGGCCTCTCTGGGTCGACTGGGGGCCCTCTTGGTGTACTCCAGGGTCGTCTTGGAGGTCATCTTGGGCGTCTTGGAGGCCTCCTGGGCTGTCTGGGGGCCCTCTTGGGGCTGTTTTGGGGGCCTCTTGGGCTGTTTTGGGGCCATCTTGGGGGCCTCGTGGGCGATTTTGTAACGATCTTTGGGGGCTCTTGGGCCATGTCGGGCCGTCGGAAGGCCGAAAAGAAGCAAATGGCAACATCCTTCAAACACCTTAGGAACATCAGCGATTTTGGCCTCTTCGGGCCTTCTTGGATGCCCTCTTGGAGGCCTCTTGGGCCGTCTTGGAGGCCTCTTGGGGGCGTCTTGGGCCGTCTTGGAGGCTTCTTGGGCCGATTTGGAGGCATCTTGGACCCTCTTGGGCAGTGTAGGAGGCCATCTTGGACCATGCTGAGGCCGTCTTGGCCGTCTTGGAGGCAGCTAGTAACCATCGTAGACCATCTTGGCCATCTTGGAGGCCATCTTGAGCCATCTTAAGCGAAAACGCCGACAATAGGGGCACCGCGGCGGGACGGGCCTAAGCCCCAGGGAGAGTTCTTTCAGAACGAGAACCAAAACCAAGAGTGGTAGGATTCAGCACGCCGAGTACCCCTGTGGCAAGCCAACAGGGGGCGGCGGATCGAAGACGCCTGCGGCGAATCACAGCCGCCCCCTGCCTTTGGAATCGCCCATGCGGCCGAGCGTTGTGGCAAGCGCTCAGCCAAGTTATCGGACCGTGTGTTCCCCCAACCGTTGTGGAAACCCTTCGGGGAACACTTGGGGGAGGATGGCGGGGAAGATCAGGGGGAGGCGGAGGAGGAGGTGGAGGAGGAGAGGGAGGAGAAGGAGGAGGAGGAGGCCTCGGAGGAGGCGGCGGAAGGACGAGGAGGAGGAGGAGGAAAAGGAGGAGTCAATGCACTCCTTCCGCACCACAATCTGCCGCCCGTTGACTTCATTCCTTTGCACTGCCATGTACTGTATCCTACTGCATCTGCTTGGCTTTAGGGAAACAGAAAAGGAACGAGCCTGTGGCGCGCGCGCGTGCGTCGGCCGGCGGGCTGGCCTCCTCCCTTCAGGGCTATCCTACTCTAGCTTAACGACATTATCCTTTCTTCCCGTGTCATCTGCGAAGCCCATTGAACATGATATATCATCGGAACATATTGCAGGGAATATGAACAATCAGGCAGAATACGGGTTATCAGCCGAGGCGGCGGCACAGCCGTTAGCTTCGCAGAGCATGGGGTCACTGGAAGGAACGCTCGGGATAATAGAAGAACGTTATCGTTCCGAGCATGTTTATGATGCAGGCGCCTATATGAGACAACCTAGTTCTCGCCGCCTCCCAGAAACGCAAGCGTCGAAAAGTGTTCGATTTGAAAAAGAAGGAGACTCTCCGATCGATTCGATGACAGTAACTAGGGAACAAACCCCGAGCGGGAGGTATGGCGCAGCCAAAACTCCCGCCGGGGGGCCATTTGATTTGGCACCGGCACACCCGAGTTCTCACTCATCGATTGACTTAGACCATGAGGTGGAGAAATTGCGGGAGCGAGTGCCCCGAGAAACGTCAGATCAAGGTAACTGTAGCATTGGAAAAGCAGCGCAGTTTGATATTCATAGTCAGGGCGAGGAATTGAGCGATCCACAATCTGAAAGGGACAGCTCACATTAAATTGAGAGGAGTGGAAAGTACGCTCAATCTTATACCTCGCCGGGCCCATCTCGTCACCATAATCCCCTCGCTGATGGGTCCGACGGGCTCGCCCCAGGCGCAGACCTGTCTGAGAACGAGACACATGGCTATGCAACGGTCGATGCACGCCATCAGGCTATTTGATTCGGATGATGATGTGGGAGATGGAAAAAGCCCAGATCAAGGTAAGAGTTCGTCGGCTCAGCCGATGCTGAACTCGCCCGAAGGCTTGGGCACGGTCAAGCATGCAAGAGAGCTTACAGGTACAACTCCACTTCCACATATGAAGAAGCCTAAGAATGAGGATGACGACCTGAATGCTTCCCCTTTGTCAGAAGGCTTTCACCGACCAGACTTCACATTGACGAGGTCTATCAGAGACAGGGTGCCAGAACTTGATGAGCTGGTGATGCAGGGCGAAAAAGACGGCTTGCCCAAAAGCAGGATGTCGATTTCATCAATGCGGGTGTAAGAACAAGGGAACAGCATGCTCCTGCCTCCAACAGGGGGCACAGGAAGGCCCCCAGGGCCGGACGCTCTAGCTCCAGAGGGTTCAATGCCGTTGAGTCACTTCGGCTATCGTCAAATAGGACCACCAGTAGCTTCTCGATAAGGGGTAGTTGTTGGAATGCTGGACTTAGGCGCCCGCCTCAGGCGGAGAACCGATGCCCGGGAAAAGCGAGCAAACGGGGGGGGGGGCGTGCCTCGGGCCAGTGCGCTCGCACTGTTCGAATGTATGTCCCAGGTGTAGTGTTGCATGGCTCGGCGGAGAATGCGTTGAATTGGAGGGGCGCAACTGCCGTTGCGTTGCCATCCAGGAGAGGGAAGAGAAACATAGGCATGATCGAGAACAATTGGGGGCTGCGAGTGCGCGCGTGCAGCAAATTATCCTCGAGGCACAAGTGGGTGAGCAAGCCGCTGGAGAAGCCGAGCGGATGCCGGCAGAATCTGAAGCCGAAAGACAGGCAATGGCACAGAAGGTCGAGCAAGAGAGAGTTGTCATTGCGGAAGATGCGCAGAGACGGATACAGCAAGCAGAAGCCAGTGTAGCAGGAAATGCGGATGCGGCCCAGCGGCGTCTCGCGCAAGAGGAGAACGAGGAAAGGGAAATTCAGCGCGTGGCTGAACAGATGGTTCCAGCTCCTCATCAGCAGGCTGAGAAAAGGGAAAGCCGACTACAGACATGGCTGGCGCAGCCAGGAATGAAGGAGAGAGAGAGAGAGGCTCGAGAACAAGCGGCGCGTGAAAATCAGGAGCCCCGCAATCTACTCGAAGCTGCTGGGCTCGAGGCCGAAAAGGTAGAAACGGAAGCCCTGCGAGCCCGTCGAGAACGCGAGCAGAAGGCGCAAGCAATCAGGGATGAAGACCAATGGAACATGGCCGTTGCTTGGGGCCATCTGAAAGGGCAAGCAGACGAGCAAATTTAAGAGAAACAACAACAACATGTTTTTTGCCGCTCGTGCAGTAAGCGAAGGGAACGGGGGTTTGAGATCTGACCTGGAACAACAACAGAAAGACAGGGGGTCGCGGGAATGGGTTCGGACAGCCGGGCCACGTGCGGCAGGTGTTCTGACGGGGGCTGAGTTTGCGCCCACGGCTTCGCCGGCAGACGCGGGCTCAATTGAGAGGCTTGGATCGACGCCGGCACTGCCGATGCATGTTGAGACACCTCCGAGCCCGGCTGTCGCTTGCCTTGCGCGAAAAAGCGACGACGAGCAGGCTTGGGCTCGAACAGGCAACGCAGGTCAGTATTGTTACGTTTGTTCAGAACCTTTCGTTGGGATTTGCGCGGGATGTTCGAAGCCCGCGCGCAGGGGTCGCCTGGGCGCGAGTATTAAAAGGTGCGCGGAGTGCGCCTGGAACAAACAGTTCGGGCGACAAGGCGATCTCGAGAGAGGGGGCGAACCATTCGGCGCGCATGGCCCTCCCCGTGACAATGGCGACCCTGAAAAGACGGCGCCGAGTCGCTCGGGTGCGCCGAAAGACGGTGGATCGGAACGGCAAGTAAGCAATCTCGCCGATCTGATGGGCATGCCGATATTCGATTCGACCAAACCAAATTTTGATCACATGCCTCTGTTGACAGCTCCGCCTGCGCCCGCGCTTCCGCTCGCAGAGTCGCGTTTCATTTCGGGGCCGGCTGCTGAGAAGTCTTTCGATATGAATGGAGGTTCGATGCAGGAGTACGTTGGGGGAAAGAGCCCTGGGAACATTCCGTTCGACGCTGAAATTTCAGGGCCCCCCGGCAACTTCGACCTGCCCGGTCGCCCCCCTTCCGCCATCGGCTCAGCCGCGGCTGGTGAAGGAGGCGGAGAACCGGGCGGACATGATGACGACCAGAGAGATGATCGGAGCTTTGCGCCCAGTGCTGGCGTGATTGTAGCAGTGCAATTTGACGAGACGGGTAAGCCGTAGCCACCCAAGGGCCCTCCTGGGGGACCTGGAGGCGGAGGTGACCCAGACGGAGATGGCGGTGGAGGGCCGAATGGCCACCATGACCCAACTATACAACCATTCAATGCCAGCC